TCGAGGCCTTAGATGCAGGGTACCTGCACGTGCCTTGCCCGCGCGATGCTCCAAATGCGCGGCACGAGACGGTGTCCGCTGTGTGAATGACTGAGAACGGACACTCTCAATGCCGTGGGGCTCCTGTCGTCTAGACGTGGAGTCGCGAGGGTCGCCTCGCTGGCCCTTGCCCCACCACCTTGTGTGCGTGGAGAGGTGCACCTCACCTCCCCTCACCTGGAGCCGATAGGTGCCGCACGCAACTCACGAGTGGATCCAGTGCCGTTTCTGATCCTGCCGCGCTTCTGCTCGACCTCACCGTTGGTCGTTGACCACCGATCCTTGAGAGTATCAGGTGCGGCCGCTGCTCAACGTGGCGGCCAGATCTCCCCAGATCTCCCCAGACCCCCCCTCCCGATATTCCTCCCCAGGTGCGGCCGTTGCTCAAAGTGGCGGCGGGAGGCGTCTACCTCGCTCGCGGCCCTGGCGTCCGGGGAGTGGGATTGCTCTATGGCGCCAAGCGGACGGCCAGCTCGGCCTTGTTATTCGGTCTTCACCCTCCGCGGTTCATCACTTAGGCCAGCGAGGCGGCGGCCAGTGCGAGCGCGTGCGGGCAGCCGCAGCAAGAGATGGGGGGCGGGGCGGTCGTGCTCGTGGGGCGGCGGTATGTTGGCGGCGTGCCAGATTTGGCGGCGTGATCTGTAGCACTTTTCCACGTGGAGCCGCGGCGTTGTTCGTAGAGAAAAGAGAGAGAGAGAGAGAGAGAGAGAGAGAGAGAGAGAGAGAGAGCGAGAGAGAGCCCAACGAGAGAATCGGCCACGGGTGGGGACGCCGATCGCGGGGCGCTGGGGCGTCTTGCCGTGTTAGACGAAACGATTTCTTTTCTTCATCCGCGGTGTCAACAGGACGGTTTCCCTGGGTTGTGGCGGACCTCTGTGGCGTGCCAATCGTTGTCGACTCCATTGCTTCTGAGACGGGCGAGCGACGCACATGGCTCAGATCACCTCCTGCCTGGCCGACCGCAGAGGTGGCCGCGCCGCGGTACGTGCTCCACCTCTTCCTCCAGCACGACAAGCACTGCGTCACCATCGCCAGGGTTGCTGCTACTGCCGATGGGCTGGGCGTCCGGCGTCTCAGACCGAAGGCTGGAGGCGCGTGACGGCGACGGCAATGTCTTCATGTCGGCCGAGGGATGCGCACAGGGCGACCCGCTCGGACAGTTCCTCTTCGCCATCGGCTACTTTTCTTGTAAGCTCGTTGATGCGGGGCGCAAGTCTAGTCTCCTGCCTTCGGGCCCCTGGGCACACGCACTCTCACGCGCCAATACACGCGCGGCCGGCCCCTCTCATGCCCTTCTCCACGCACACCGCGTGAAAACCGCGCGTACGTCCCCGCGCGCACGCAAACACACGCGCAGCGCAAATTTGCCTGTGCCATGTGCGTCTGCCCTGTGCTGGCACCCCATGGCTGTCCCGAGCCGCCCGCACCAGCCACGCGCCTCTCGCACCACCAGAGCCAGGCGCACGACCACTCACGCCGCGACCCGGCGTTACGACCCATGCGAGCTGTTGCCGGCGGGCACGGCCAGGCCCGCCCCGCGCGAGCCGCGGGTGGACCAGCGTGCGGATGTAGAGCCACATACGGACACTGAGATGGACACTGAGGAGTAGCTTGTAGACTTATGAGCAGGCGCGCCAATCTGGGCATTGCTACTCGCACGCAGCATTGGGCCAGATTGGTTGTGCTTTGGTTTTAAAACCGGCCGTCCGATACGGTTTTAAAACCATCTAAAACCGAAACGTTTGAAAACGGCCGTCCCGTCTTATTTTGGCTTCCCTTCACAAATCTCAGAAACTTGACGGACCGGCCCACTAAACACAGCACGTGTCTGCTTTAAAACACACGTGTTTTAAAATGAGCCTGACGATTTTAAAACCGAAATCGTTTTTAAACGTGACTGCCGGCGTTTTAAAACAGCGAGACGTTTTACAACGCCGAGGGTTTAAAACACAAAAGCGGTTTTAAAACAGGGGTGCTAATTTTGAGATGTCATGATGCCGTGCCGGGAGCCACGCAAGAAATGTGCTCGCTTTGTGGCTTGGTTGTGTGGCTTGGGGTCAGCCCCAAGCTGCAAGCAGTAAGGTATAGTGCAATGTGTTCCCCAAGGTGTCTACATTAGACTGCGCGTATGTGTATGGTAAAATCACCTTTTGCTTTTCACCCTCTACCACGCGCAGAGTCTGGAGATTAACACTCGACCGTTGTAGAGAACGAGCTAACGCATTGGCTCACTCATTCGAACTTAAGAAACTTAAAGCCGAGGGCCAAGGCCTCTCTCCGCCCTCTCCGAGCAACCTCAACCTAGCCTAACCTAGCCCTCCGCCCACTAGTCGAGATTTCCTCAGCAGGAGAGCTGATTTTCCACCCAGACTTCAGTTTCCAACTAGGAACTAGCGCTCACACACACACACACCACCTACCAAGCTACCCCCAACCCACTACCCACCTTCTCACCAACCTCGGAATCTCCCCACTAACGAAACCCCCAAAAAGAGATTACGTTCGTTAAAGCAACTGAAACCTAGCCACGACTCTCCCGGGCCACACTAAGGTGAGCTACGCAGATCATCTACAACCTGACACCGCGAGCAATTACCCCACTCGAGGAGACAGTACGACCTCGGCAACCGCCTTCGATCCCCCGCCATATTGAGCATGTGTTTGCCCCTCGACGCCTAGTCCCTCGTCCTCAGGATGGACGTCTGGTCAACGTTGCCTCTGTGTCCGGGCGGCACGAGCACCTCCGTCACCTTGACACGCCTCTCGATGTATACCCCGCGTCCGCATCGGAGACGAACTTTGACTTAAACTTGCCCGTCGCGTTCAGCCGCTTCAGCACGCGCAGCGCCGTCTCGGACGAGCCGGGCGGCAGGTCGTATCCCCTCTGTAGCGAGCAGTGGATGTCCTCGATCACATAGAGCCCACCACGCTTGAGAAGCGGCAGCCACGCAGCGAGCACTTGAGCACTGGATAGTCTAGGGTACCATACTTGACCCCCCCCCCTTGGCGCCTCGTCTTTTCCTACCAAACGAGCGTGATTTTGGCCCGTCGTTCTCCGCTCGCGCCGGCCGCCCATGCGCTCGCGGGGCTGGCCGACGGCGCGGGCCTCTTGCCGATGGACCCAGCCGAGGTGCCCAACCAGTCGGATTCGCGCCGGCGCGCTGCGCGCGACCACCAGCCAGCTTTTCAGCGAGGTCGAGCACGGTGCGTCGAGAGAGTCGACAGTCCAAGTAGCAGCCGCTTTTTTTCCCTCTTTTTGAGCGCTGCTGCTGCACACCCAGCCCACCAGTGATACGAGACGCACCGGATCCAACCCTGGCAGCGCTCGACCGCGACCCCGATGACCGCCCACAGGTGGCTGATCGCGGCCGCCGCCCACGCTGCTTTTCGGCGCCTGGCTCTCAGAGGGCCCCTGCGGCTCTCTCTCGTCGCGTGACCGCCGCCGACATCATGTGCTCGGTCGTCCCCGCCGGCGCGGAGCTGCGCCACGTCGAATTGTTCGGTAACTCGACCGCCGGCGCGCCCGCCGGCTCACCTCTCGCGCCGCCCCTACGCACAAAGCCCGCTCACGCCGCACGTACTCAGCCATCGGCGCGACATCACCCCCGCGCAGGCACCTCGCGACGGGTCGGCGCACTCGTGCGGCTCAACGCGGACCTACGGAGCGACTCCGCCGCGGCTCGGCGCTGCCCATGGCAGCAACAGGTGCCGCCCCACCACCCGCCTGCTGCCTCTGCCTCTCTCAGCCATGCGACCCCTCCGCCAATGCACACCTCGAACGCGACGTCAGATCCCGCTGCGACTGGCAACAGTCGCGGCGATGAGGCCTCCGCCAGCACTGATCGTCACAACTCGTCTGTTACGCTACACGTTTTTGCCCTCTGCAGGTGAGCGGACCGCTGCAGCCGCAGTGGAGCCGCGGGTCGGGCGAGGGAATGGCCTTTTGGCGCGGCGCTGCTATGTGCCTGCGCGCTCATGGCGCGTTCAGGGGTGCGCCTGCGGTGTGTAGACTGCGGGGCGCCGCGATATCGCGGCGCCGACGATTGTGTCGCTCATTGTCACACCGTCGACACGGTCACAGTGTGTGTGCAGTGCGTCCACTCCGGCGACCGTGACGCCGTCGGCGCTCGCCTATACCGGCTAGTGTGGAGCTCTCAGTGTGGTTGCGTGTTGTACTAGTGGTGCTGCACTAGGCGCCCCGTTTTTAGCAAAAAGCAGATACCACATCGCGTGTGGTCGTCGAAAAACCGCATGTTCGCCCGTCTGGGACCTCTTCGTACGGCTCCAAAAACCGCTCCTTAACGACGACTACGCGGCCCGGCGGTCGATCTGCGCCTTCTCACCGGTGGGGGGGATGTGGTCGGTACGTGCGGACCGCGTGGTGCTGCGATGGCTTGACGAGTGCGACTCCCAGCGTCGACTTTTCGACCCCACGGAGCCTCTGCTGCTCCGGGGGGGGGGTCTGCAGACCACCCGGCCGAACTTCAGAGTCGCGGTGCTCCTCAAATACCGCTCAAACGCCCCCGATGTTGTGGAGGGGACATATGCTGATGATCCTGGCCCGATTGGTTCGCGCAGAAAGCTTCTGGGCGGTCGTTAAGGTTCGCTCCCCGCACACCGGCCCGGAAGTATGGTACCCTAGAGAGGCGCTGCTCGACAACTTGCAGCGCGGGGGGCTCCTGCAGACGCACGCCATGGTGCGTAGCGCGATCTTCGATCACTTTGCCTACACGCCGCACCTCGAGTGCGCCGTGCTGCTGCGCCGCCGCACTCACTGTGTGAATAGACCTCTCTGGTCAACTGATTCCTCTAACAACAAAAAGTGGCCCTCTCTTATGTGCACCCCTCGGCAGCGCGGTAAAGCCCGGTACGATAAACGATACACGGTCTACGATAATCATACACTGTGAGACAGTCGCACGTGCGTCGTGAAGTCTGCACAGCCAGAGGTCCCGG